TATATATATATAAAAAGCTAGATCTTAGAGACTTACAGCAACCACAACAGGTATACACGTCACTTTTGATTGGCCCTGAAAATAAACCAATTGTGCTGCAAAAACAAGAGAGCAGTTAGTCATGAAGCAAATTAATTGAGTCGATAAGAGGATATTAGTAGCAAGAAAGAAACAGAATAAGAAGTTGAAAGAATATGATCACCTATGCTAAAGAAAAAGTGTTTCAGAGTACATCAAACAGAACTTCTTATTATGAACAGTATCAAATAACTAATCACAAATATTGACAGGAAAAGGACGGTAATCAATCGAATGTAGGGGTCAATTACCCATACATGAAATTATTAAGCAACGCTCAAATTAATAGAAATTTGAACATAGAAAATGGTGAGAAGATAAATATTCACTAAAAACATTGGCAGGAAAAGAAGAGAATGAATCAGCTGAAGGGGTCAATGATCCCCAGGTGAGAACTTGCATAGGAAGATTAGAATAAAGAGAAAGTTGAACATGAAAATGATGAGAATTATGACTATGCACAAAACATTGACGGAAAAAGAAGGGATAAATCAGCTGAAGGGGTTGAAGATGTCTAGGTGAAACTATATAACAAGATTAAACACTAAACAGAAAGCTGAACCACATTGTAGAAGCATTGCACTTTCAAAGATCACAGCTATAAGTCAAGCTACTTGGAGCATATCACATGCATATGTCCATAGAATAAGTAAGGCGACAAGCTTCAGCTACCACTTACGTTCAGTACAACCAAAAAGATAGACTTTCTTTCCATGCAATTCTCCGCCTTCTTCAAATGCATCCTATCAGAAAACACACAAGACCTTTGAGTCATCTGGTCTCTTTTTGTTTGAATACTTTGCATACAGAAACATAAGGCAGATAATGCACTTTCTTAATACAAAATTTTATTGAATCGAAAAACGAACTGAAAATAGCCAACTCACTTCGAGATTCGAGAAATTCCATTTGTATTGGTAAACCATGTCTATCTGATCCCACTGGCACCGAGCAAAAGAATAAATTCAAATTTCAGAAATTATAAGCAAGAAATTAAGTACCATAAACCAGAAAGCCATGCCAATGAATAAACAGAAAGCCGTTTTCAAAAAAATGAATAAACAGAAAACAATCAAATTCTAACCTCTGTGCCAACAGGAAAAACCTCTTGCCATAGATCTTCCTGCAAAATATACCAATTGAAACTGTAAGGAAGCAGGCAAAGGTATTATTAACTGTCTACAAGAGAAAGGAGGAAACTGCAAATCTTCTGCAACAAAAATTTAAATGAGTACAATTGCAACTATGAAGCTAAGCACAACATACTATCATCAAACCACTTAGCAATTCAAAGAAACATACCTACCCTATATTTTTAAAGGGAACAACAAGATTTCAGAAGAAGAAGGAAGAAAAAAAAGGACAGCCCGGTAGACTAAGCTCCTACTACGTGATGTGCGCAGAGTCCGACAAAAGGCCAGACCACATTCAGTCTATCTTATGCGGCCTTACTTGAGCCCATGACATCTTGGTCACACGGCCGCAACATTAATGTTGCGCCAAAGCTCCCCTTTAAAAGATTACACAAAATACCCCAAAAAGTATTTAAGCAAATGTCCAAGTGAGCATTAAAAATTATCAGAGTACCAAACCACAAATGGAGTAATTAGTGCTTCAAACAATCCAACTTAACCTACATTATCAAAATAAAACAACCAATAAAAAAGTAAATCAAACACTTAAGCTAAAACCCATATCATTCAAGAAGGTTCAGCTATATGAATCCTCTCAACCCATTCAGGCCTATTAACAATCATTGAACTACCAAAGCATAACATTAAGCAGTTTCAAGATTCCACTTACTTAACATTATCAAATTGAAACAACCAAAATAATCCACAAAAAAGGGGGCAGGTAGCATTACCAAATTACGCTTATCGGGGAAGTACTCAGTCTCAGTCTGAGGCTTAGCAATCTTGGCTCGTTTAGCTCCGCGCTTAACAACACCTTTGCTAGGCTCTCCTCCTTTGTCATTGTTCTTAGGCTCTTCTTTCTGAACAGATTCGCTTTGCTCTGCAGCTGATTGGGCTTGGGGTTGGGCTTGGGCGGGCTCACCATTCTTGTTGGTCGCTTCTTCGGTGGTTGCGGTTTGTTCTTGGCTACTAACCTTCTCCTCTTCTTTGGACTTGCCTTTTCTTCCTCCTACTTCTCTAGCCTTTCTCTTTGTACCTTTCCTCATTCTTTATTGATTTTAAGGGTTTGTTATTTGAATTGGAGGAGGAAGAGAAACGATGGCGGAAAATAGAGAGAGGCGCTGGCTGAGGTAATAAGGAGGCAATTTGCGTGAATGGGGGGTGGGTAGCGCGTAAATCCAACGCGACCAAGCTGACCCTTTTGTGGGAGGGAGATTGAAAATTTTGGTTTCGTTTTACGCTATTTGGTTTCCCCCCTTTTCAAAACTACGTATAAGTACTCAGATTCAGGTTCTTGTAATTTAACCCTCTTAACATCGCCCTAAATCATAATTAAAGGGAATTAAGACAATTAAACTTATGAGTGGTTTTAAGGATATGTGATTTCACTTGGCACAAACTGAGAAATATGAGAATTAATATTAGAAATTAACTGTAAAATAAAGCAAACCAATATGATGAGCAGATATTGCCCTCGTGCTAGATCGCCCTCGAACCAAACCCATATGATGAGTAGTTATGGCCCTCGTGCTAGATCGTCCTCGAACCAACTAAACATACTATTGAGCTGTATGAACTGAACATAGAGCTTAAGAGAAAATGTAATGTATTGCTTTGTTATGCTTGAATGTGATCATTACAAAATGATTAGAACCCATTTATATAGTAGAGAAATTCTATTTATGGTACAATTCTAAATACGGAAACAAATCCTATGATAGGCTAAATAACCGGTCTTGATTTGATATGTGTCGAGATTTCCGCCACGATCTTTGTCCGATCACGGATATCTCGGCTTTCTGTTATCCGACTTAGCCGGCTCCCTTCGACCTTGCTCGATCTCTATCCCACTTCGGTCTCGATCACGGCTGGTCTCGATCTTGATCGGTCATTGGTTCACGAGCTTAGTAATACATCCCTGTGCCATGGTCCGTCATAAATCGAAACCGACCCCGACTTGTCGTGCTCCATCCTCGATCAGTCTCTCAAAAAGGGCAGGCTCGATTTGGACCATATACATTAGAGTTATGCAGGTATTAGTAATGCAGGATCGAAACTCATTTACCAACAAGGGTTGTGGTGGAGTGGTAAGTACTCCTTCATTCTTAACCTGCTATTAGGTATAGAGTCACCTTTGTTAGGGAGCGCTTTACCCCCAAATTGTGGGACTTCCCGAGGCGAATTCAGATTTAGTCGGGGCCCAATGTAGATACCAGGCACCAGATGGGAAACAAAAAAAAAGTTATACAGGGTGTAGTTATGTTAGGATTAATTATGCAGGGATTGGTTATGTAAGGATTAATTATGCGAAAATTAGTTATATATAGTAAAATATAAATGTAATATGAGTATTATTTATTATTAGTCTAGTTTATTCTATTAAAATTATTACTATATTTTAGATATATCTTTAAATGAAAAAATACAAGTATGAATAGAGGGTATTCATGTTCTAAAATAAGTATTACCGATACATGTATGAGTTATTCCACCTTATACCCTACATAAATAATACATAGATTCCCTCATTACTTATATATGTATTAGTTATGCGGAAAAGAAAAGCATGAACCAAATATTGTATTAGCAATAATATGTTTTGTGCGGAAAAGAGAAAAAACCAACCAAACATTGTATAACTTATGCTAGAGTTTATGTGAAGATTAATTTTTTCCCATTTTTGTAACCAGACAATGTATATATTTATCCTAATTTTAATACGTGGATAACTCCTCTCTAACCGACTACCAAACGACCCCTCAATCATTTAGTTAGTTCATAACAAATAAAATGAGTCCAATGGAAAGTCTATCTATTCCTAATAACCAAAAAGAGTGCATTAATAAAGGAAGCAAGCAAGAAGAATTATCATGAAAAATGCAAACCTGCTTTGAGTAGAAACTAGAAAATATATTTTGATATAAATTTTACTAAAAAACTTATTTAGATATCAATTATAAGAACTTGTAAATATCAAATCCCGAACTATTTCGATTTTTTGCTCCAACTATGAATTATTATTTCACAAATTAATTTATCCTTTTTTTTAATAACAATGGTTTTCATATAACCTGCATTAGGTAGGGGTAAGGTCTGCGTACAGACTACCCTCCCCAGACCCCACCTGTTGAGATCATACTGGGTTTGTTGTTGTGTTGTTGTAATGGTTTTCATATAGAAGATATGAGTAAAATAAAGGTAACTCTATTTATCAAGATTGAATTGTATAAGAAGAAATTGCCTTAGGTTTTTTTTTCCTGTTTCAACTAACAATTGAACTATAATCTCTTATAATTTTCACCTACTTGAGCGCTAGATCACATAAGCTATGCTTTTAGTGTGTCATTATTATTATTATATTTTTTTAATAGTGATTTTGTCCGACCAACTTGCACGCATTTCATCTATTATATAGTTATCCATGTTTTAATTTATTCCTTTCAATTGTTAAATTGACGAATCCTGTCAATTTTGGATAGTTAAGGGTGATTAATTCACTGAATAAGTAGTAATCCAATCTACTTTAGATTGTCGTCCATGTTGACCACAGTGTCATAACTCAACTTATCTAACTTTATTTCTTTCTTCTCCAATAATATAATTGAGTTACTAACGATGAATTTTTATTCCATTAAGTAGAATTATATTCCATATTTAGCACCATCCTTTCGTTTTTTTCCCAAACAAAGCTCTCGTATGAATTGATTTTTGTGGAATAATATAATACAAGCTAACCCAACCATTTAAATAGTAGCTTTGGTTATATTGAAAGTCTATCAATATATGTCGGTCGAACAAGTATTTACATTACATAAATTATAAGTACGATTTTGATGTCTAGTCCAAAAGACTTCAAAACTCCAACTTGAGCGTCCAAAAATTTTGGTGGTGAAGTGGACATCATGCAATGTAAACTATATAGACCCAATTGATTTCTTTTCACTGCGGTTTGACCAAAAAGTTTTAAGCCATTTTGTTAAATCAATTTAATAAATAGACAAAGGGTGAATCCAAGTTAAAAGTAATAAATCCCAAATATGAAGTTTAACAACTCGGACGGTAGGGGACCGTGTTCAAGTCAACGAATGCCAAGTTAATATACAATGATTGTTAATAAATATGAGAATGAAAACATGCAATAAATGTGATAGATGGCATTAAATGTAATAAGAAGGGATTTGTCACCCAAATGTTGGATGAGATGGATGATTCCTTCTTCTGACTAAAACGTGTGACAGCCGATAGTGGGAATGAACAAAGTGTTCTTGGATCTTGTGAATAAGAGAGGAATGTTTTGTAATGGAATCAAACAGAGAAGACAAGACAAGCTTTTTGTATATTTTTTATAGTCAACTCTTTACAAGATGTTCTTTCATCAAAGTCCCGTATCCCTTTTCCGTTTCCTCTCTCTTCCTATTTATAAATGATATCCCTAAAAAACACTAAAGAAGTACAATTTGGTGGAATATTCAATGGAATATTCCTATTCATAATCCTATGACTATTTTAACAGTTGCAGTCGTTTGTTCTCTACTCGACCTCGGCATTGATCTCTCTCTTCGAGCGACTCCTCGCCACTGGACCGTACTTAGTTTCGGCCTCGGCCTCGGCCTCGGCCTCAGCTCGCCCGTATGCATTCGCTAAACGAGACCTAATTTTGTCCCATACAGTTAATCCCTCCGCTTCTTGAGGTCGTTCTCTTGCGAGTCCTCGATGAGCGAATTTTATCTATATTTAATCAAGAGATATTCCGCCATGGTGAACGAGCTGAATTGGACGATGTCACATTGATGACGGCTTGGCTCGAAGGTTGTGGTTGGCATGGCTAACATAGGATGATGTCATGACCACGCGCGTCATCATTACGCATCTTCCCGATGCAATGCGTCATTTCCAGTGCCTCTGTTGCTTTGATCTTAGGGTCAATGACAGTTTCTTGCATCGATTTGGGCGCTACAATACCTTGTAAATAGGGGAAGGGCGGTTCAAAAATGAAACTTTTATCACTTCATATTCCTTTTGCACTTTGCTTGTTCTTCTACTTCTTCTCTAATCCTTGTTTCCGATTTCCTTATGCTTTTCCGTTCTAGCTTACGTTTTCTTTCCCCCTTAATACCCTTCTTCCGACTCTACTGTATACACGTTACTGAAGAAATGGAAAACTCCCCTCACACTTCTGACATAGTTTCTGATGCGACCCCTATGTCGGTAGCCGTGCCTTCCGGTAGCGGTGAACCCACGGTTGCAGAGGACGAAAGTTTTCCCATCGTGGAGGAGATTGTTCCTCGGAACCCGTCGGTCAGAAATGACTTCCAAAAAGAACTTGCCCCTGCTCCTGAGCAGGTACTATTAGTCATGGGGTCGAAACAAATATCTAACCTGCGGTCTAAATTCCGTATTCCTGCTCACGTTGATATTGTTCCGGCGGGGAACGACGTGATACAAGTTCACCAGCCTGGTATTGTGCTTTCTACGCCTACTCGTTTTTGTTGGTTACTCTCTTCCTCTTCCCCCTCTAACAGAGGAGTTCTGCCGTTTTTATGGCGTTTGTCCAGCACAGCTTTCCCCTTTCCTATATAAAGTCTTTTTGATGCTGGAAAAGTTTGCGGAGTTGGCCGACTGCAAACTCTCCATCTGTCATCTGCTGCACATCTTCTCACATAGTTTATCCCGAGGCATGCTTATTCATCTCCGCCACTGTGGGACCAAAGGATTGGTGATGGGGATGGATGACAAGGCGAACCGTCGGTTCTAGCGCAATTACTTCTTCATCAGAATCGATCACGTAGTGGCGGACCCAGCCGGGTTTCCCGAGCAGTGGAACTTCAACCGTAAGGGTCTATTACCATCTGTCATATATTTTGTTTATCCCCTCTCTTTTTGTTTTTGATTTGCTCATGTCTTTCTACTTTCAGCTGGTAAGTGTCCACCTCCCTTGGTCCTTGATATCGAAGACTAGGTAACTCGCGTCTTACCTCATACTGTGGGAATTCGCGACTGGGCATCCTTTAACAGGCGGTTCGGGCGCAAGCCTTCGACTAGTAAGTCTGATTCTCATTTCCATGACTCTTCATCTTCGTTATAGCTTACCACCGTCTTGTCATATATATATATATATATATATATATATATATATATAGTTTTACGTGATTTTCTTTTTGTGCCAGGTCGGCGTGCTTCCAAAAAGGCGAAGGCTCCGGTGCCCGCATTCCGCCAGGTGGTTGCCTCGGCGGGAATGCAATTTGTACTGCTTGAGTCTGTACGAGA